GCCCGGGTCTTTCCCCCCCCGCCCCTGCTCTGAGCCCCCCACTTGCCCCCCCAGGCCCGCGACTGCAAGGTGCTGGGGGACCTGGAGGGCGCCCGGCGGTACGGGAACCAGGCCAAGCTGCTGAACATCATCTGCTCCACCCTGCTGGTCCTGGCCGTGGTGGCCATCATCACCATCTTCATCCTCCTGTTGCCATACGGCAGCATGTGACAGCGCTGCCACCTTGGGGGCGCCCCCTCCTCCTTTTCCCAAAACATCCCTGCTTTGGCCATGGGGAGAGGGAGTGATGCCTCGTCCCCTCGGTGCCCGCACCCCTGGGTGTCCCAGCACAGCCCCTGCCTGCGAGGGGACGGGTGGGCCAGGCTGGGACGTGAGGGACAGCCCCCCCTCTTCTCTGCTTGTGTGCCGGGCAGGGGGCTCCTGGGCTTCCTGGGTGCTGTGACACACGTTTAGGTCACTGTTGCCACAAATAAAGCTCATCCTGCCAAACCCCTCTCACCGCTCGCCTTATTCCCAGCAGGGAAGGAAAAGAGGGTCCTTGTGTGTCTTCGGGGCAGCCCCCTCCTCCTCCTCTTTCTTTTCTCACTGCCGGCTGATGGCTCTCTGCCCCACCACAGGGTAAAGCACTTCCAGCCCAGAGCCCAGATAAGTTTCTTCCTAAAAGCTTAGGCATGGCAGAAAAAGGAAAGACAGACGGAAAGACAGAAAGAAAGAAGGGAGGGAGGGAGGGAGGGAGGGAGGGAGGAGAGAAAGAAAGAGAGAAAGAGAGAGAGAAAGAGAGAGAAAGAGAGAGAGAGAGAGAGAAAGAAAGAGAGAGAGAAAGAGAAATCAATTTATCAATCAATCAATCTGTGTTTTTCTGGCCTTACACACCCCGTCCTGTCACACAGCCCCATCTCCTCCTGCTTCTCCCCATAGAAGTAGCTCTTCCACATTTTGGTATTAAGTTCCCATTTAAGGCATCCAGTGACCCAAACATGCTGCGAAGGAGGGGTCTTCCCAGCCAAGACCACCTGGAGGGACTGGGCTGGAGGTATTGGTGGGAGGCAGTGCAGTGAGAGATCCTGGCACTGAGGCTCTGTCTCGTATCGGCCCCTTGGGGTCACCTGGTTTCAGTCACCCCATGGTCACCCTCCGAGCGCTCGGCCTCCCTGGAGCCATCCGTGCTCCTCATCGCGGGAGGAAGGCTGGATTTAAAAAGCCCATAGGCTGGAAAAGCCAAGTGTGCTTCTCCAAGCTCCCAGCCAAGCCTTTCTGATAACCACAGCCCGGGAGGGCTGTAATTTCTTGGGTTTATATATAGAGGAGACGAGGCCGTGCCACAGACAAGGACTATATAAAGGGGCCTCCCTGCCCCGCTGCCCCAGCCAGGCTGGTGGAGCAGAAGAGTCGTGGGGTGCCCCTCTCTGTGGCCATGGACACCTCTTACCCGCGGGAGGACTACCTGCCCACGCCGTCCCACAAGCGGGACCCGTCTCCCGCCACCCTCGTCCCCCCAGCGCCCCGTGACCACCTCGTCTGGTCCATCTTCAACACCATCTACATGAACTTCTGCTGTCTCGGCTTCGTGGCTCTCGCCTTCTCCGTCAAGGTATGGAGTGGGGCCATGGGGGGTGGGACTGAACACTTGGGGTCACCTGGGACCTTCCCCGTGGTGATGCCAAGGGATGGACTTCCCAAGGAGGCACCGAGCATCTGAAAGAACCACCTTGGGGGGGCTGGGGTAGGGGATGAGAGACCAACACCCTCAAGAGGCTGGTTGCAGGTGACACCATCCCCAGGTAAAGCCCCCACACTTTCCCTGCCACCCATTGATAAGGCTGAGAGATGCCCCCCCCAGACAGTCACAGCCTCCTGCCACCACAGGAGGACCAACCCCTTCTTCCTACAAGGTGCTGGGGGGCCATGATGACCCCATCCCCTCCACCTGCCCTCTGCCAGGAGCAGCCCCGGCTGGATGGATGGGGCAAAGTGGGGGCTGGAGCCCCCCAGGCTCCAAAAGATGCAGGAGAGAAAGTCCCCATAGCAAAGAAAGTGGGGGGGCTGAGGGGGGCAGCAGCGCATGGAGCTGTGGGGCAGCCCGGGGTGGATGGGCAGGGGACTAAACTTGGGGCTGGGAGGGTGCCGAAGCCAGGTAGCTGGGCTGGGAGGGGGCACGGGGAGGGGGCACGGGGAGGGGGCTGCGGGCAGCCCGGGGGCTGCTGCCCCATCCCTGGGCTGTTGCAGGCGCGGGACCGGAAGGTGTGCGGGGACGTGGAAGCCGCTCGGCGCTTCAGCTCCAAGGCCAAGTGCTACAACGTGCTGGCCACGGCGGGGAGCGTGGTGCTGCCGCTGCTGCTGGCCGCCCTGGTCATCACCGGCGTCCTCCACCTCTCCAAGCTGGCCCAGGAGTCCGTCGGCTTCTTCACCTACCAGTTCAGCCCCAGCGACGACGAGGACAAGTGACCGGTGGGTGAAGGGTGTGGAGAAACTCCTTCACAAGCTGGTGGCCCACCCAAAAAGACCACTGGTCCAGCATCACCCAGCCACCACCCATCTCTGCCACCCAGGGCCACGTCAGCAGGCTTTCGTGCCCACGGGGCTGGGGGGCGGGGGAGAGCAGCCCCACAGGCTTCTCTCCTCACCCTCTCCTGCCCATCGTGCACCCCCAGCCCCACAGTGCCCGACCCCGGCTCCTGGCCACACTTCTTGGGGCAGATCGGGTATTTTTGTTTACCTTGTTTGTTTTTTTTACCTGCCTTTTATCCTGTGTGGAGCACAGCTTCCCTCCAGCCTCGGTGAGCACTATTTAAATCATTAAACCACTTCACACATTGTGAGTTTCCTGCGTGCCTGTGTGTAGGGCTGGAGGGGTGCTAAAGGGACAATATAAATATGCGTTTTTCACTTTGACCGTGCCCTTTGGGGCCGGGAGAAGGAACAATCTCGGTGGCCCTCAGAGCCACCCAGCCCCAAGAGCCACAGCCCGTCGGGGCCTCGCCGGCGGCTGCGGAGGGGAAAGACACAGAGAAGTTTCCCTGCCCCATGGGGACACCCTGGAGCAGATGAGATGTCACCCCCTCCAAGGGGAGCTGGGACCCGCAAACTCAATGCAGGAAAGATGAAGTCTCCCAGCAGGTCCCCGGGTGAGGGCAGAGGGGAGAAGCACAGGATGCAGCCCCGCTGCCTTCTGCCACCCCCCCATTGCCCTCCCCGGGGCAGGGCCGGCTCGTTCTGGCAACCGGACAAAAGACATCCCATTTTGGGGTGGGAATGGATGATGACACACACTGACGTCCCTTCCAGAGCCACCTGGCTCAGAGCTGGGCTTTACCCCCAGCCTCCCCAAGCCCCAACCCAGGTGCAGCCCATGGGGCTGTTATGGGGGGCGAGGGGATGGAGGGGTCCGTTTGTCCTGCCCTGCTGCCGAGAACTGCTGCTAATTAGGGGTTGGGTGACTTTTGACAAGGCCTGAGGGACAGCCAGCCTAATTACAAGGCGGGGGAGCCACGCTGCCTCCTGCCCAAAGCGTTCCCACATGCTGCAGGCAGCGGCCACGGGGCTTTTTATAAACCCCTGGGATTGGGCCAAGATTCCTGGGGTTTGTGCGAGAGGGGGGCCGGGAACGCCGCCAGCACCCCCTCGCTCTCACCCAGCCACGGGAAACGGGGCACCAGAACCAGCCCCGGGAAGGGGGTGCCGGAGGGGAGGGCGCTGGGAGGTGCGGGGCTGGGTGTTGGGGGGTATCCTGCCCCCCTCTTCTCACAGCCCTGCCCTCCCGTGGGACTTTCGGGGACACTGGAAACGCCTTGAGCAAAGACAGGGCAGGTCCGTGCTCACCCTGAGGCTGCTCAGCTGGAGCTCTGGGGGGGCTCTGCCGGGGTCCCAGAAATACACTGTGCGTGTCGTCTGACAGAGCAGCAGGGGTAAGTGGTGCCCGGGCTTCATCAAACGCCAGGTTAGAAGGGTTTAACTCCAAATCTGCCTGAGCAGAGAGGTGATGACGCAGACGAGGGGTTAAAAGCGAGATAGGGGTGTTACACGCCAAACAACACGGAAGAAACGGAGCTGCGGGCTGCCCCTGCAGACAGGGCTGCAACGCTTTTGGCCGCGTACTTCAGCGTAATTTTGGCCACGTAACTGCCAAAATAACGCTCAGCTCCAGCCTGACTTCCATCCCCGCTGCCTCGGCAGAGCCTCTCCCTGCGGGGGTCAGCGGGACGCGGGGGTCCTGGCCGCAGGCTGTACGGAAACCCAGCGGCCATGGCGGCCACGGGCTGCTCCGGGGGGGAGTGATGTGGGGAAGAGCCGAGGCCAAGGTCCTTCCAGCCCCGGGGAGAAGGGGAGGACCAAGCCAGGATGTGCTGGAGGAGCTGGGAGTTGGCGCACACACAGGCTGGAAGACATACAGACCTATCATCTGGGGCTTCCTTAGAGACACAGATGTTTAGAGCATAAACAAGCCCCGGATGTTTAGAAAACTCACTTAAAATAATTGCTTTCAGGCTAGATTTGGTCTCCTCTGCTAAGCCAGAGAGGTTGAAGGCATGTGAAGGGGAGCAAGGGGGCTCAGTGCCCCCCGGCACAGACAGGGATGCTCAGGGTCACTCGGGGAGCTGCAGCCATGGGGAGAGCTCTGAGCCCACCACCCACCCCGGGGCCACAAAGAAAGACAGCACACACACAGTCCGGGGGAAAAGGGTTTATGGCACAGCCTGGAACCCCCACCTTTACCTTCCCCCTCTGCCGACATCTGCTCTTCAGCCTTTTCTGCCGCACCAGGGAGTGAAGCCCAGACCAGCCAAGGTCTAAAGCGTCTCGGTGGTTGCCCTCTGAATCCAGCCAGCTGCCGTGGGGAAGGAGACGCCCTGCCCTACAACAAGAACCAACCCTTGTGAGGTATGGGAATGGTTTCTCCCCAAATTGTCCTTATTTCAGCCCAGGCATTGGGGCTCTGTACCTCCATGCAGGGGGAACCGCTGCCCCGAGGCCTCCAGCACGGCTTCCAGGGGAGATCCCACCGGGTCCCGGGGAGACTCGGTCACTTTGATCCTCATCTCCTTTTTGGTGATGGTGAACTTCAGTTTGGAGCCCAAATAGGAGACGCCAGTGATTTTCATCCTGTCGATGTCCTCGGGAAACGCAGGGTCAAAGCGGAGGCTGGTCTTTGTGATCCTGGGGAAGCAGGAGTGGGTCAGAAGCGGGAGCAAAGAGTGACCCCAACGCAAAGCCACCTCATGGGGTCGGTCCCCTCCCCAGGCAGTGCAACCTCACACATCCCAGGGGCCTCTCCTCTCACTCTGTTTATCCGTGGGGAGAAAGAGTCCTCTGTAATCTGCCATCTCTACCAAGATGTGTTATAACAGCTTGGTTTTCACTTTCCCTCCGCGCTGTGGCCAAAATGGGTTAGCAAGGTGACCTCCAGAACCCATGTCAGCTCCCACATCCCCTGGTTTGAAGGGCTTCAAACTCAGCGCTGCTCCACGTGCTCCTTCACCAAAAGGTAAAAATGGAGCAAAGAGCTTGAATCCTCTCTGCAAGTCCTTACCCAAAGTCAAACAGAGCCCATTTGTGTGTTTTGGCTTTGGATGAAAAAGAGGTAAGTCACCATTATCTCCTACTCAAATCTTGATGCGGGAGAACGCTTGACCGTCTCCTTCAGTCTTTTGAGAAGGTTCAAGAGAGGCACCAGAGTCTGGAGGGCCTTGGGGGCAGCCCAAGGCACCAGCCGGTGACCACAACTCACAACCCTCGAGGGCTACGTAAACATCATCTCAACATGGGAGGAAGTTTGGCTGGAGCCCCACAGCCTGTGGCTTGAGGCTGAGCCGAGAGGGGCCCAACCTGACACACAGAGACCATCCCGAGACCTTCCAGCTCCCCACAACCTGAGATTACGGTTTTCAGCTGGGAACACGGGAGCTCACACCCAGCTCCACCAAGAATCTGGTGGGTTCCTCAGCAGTTTCTGGCCACACACAGGGAGTAAAAACACATAGTTAGTGCTAGAAGAGCTTGCTGAAAATCAAAAGGTTCGTCAGTTTGATCCGTCCCCAATTAAACTAAGAATACGCTGCAGAGTCTGCTGCTTCAGGGCTGAAACCACGGGGCTGCTTTGGACACAAGACACGGCTTTGAAATTATATGAGGAGCCTAATGTTTTTTCTAAGGTATTTGGCTGCTGTGGTGATGCCAGCTGGGCACTGTCCCCCCAGAGCCACCCGTGGGCAGATGGCTCCAGAGGGGCTGCAGAACCTCTGTCCCTGCCACATCCAAAGAGGACGGGATGTTATAGCTCAGCCAGGGGAACACTTAGGGAATGGCATGGAGCTTCCCAAACGTGCTACTGCCTCACAAAGTGACCTGGAGAGAGTCTCTTACCTGTTCCGAGTCTGTTTCCAGTCTTCAAAGTGGGAATAGGCCCACGGCAGCTCAGTCTGGTGGCAGAGGACTGGGGTCTCCAGTCACAAAGGCCCCCTTTGAAAGGGCACCGTGTATAATGTATAATAAGAGCTAGTCTTGTGTTTGCTTGCAAGGGGATTGTATGGGCTCTCTCTTCAATTAATTAACCAAAAGGCCGATGTAACTGGTGGATCACAGCCTTTAAGCTCCATCCACACCTGGTGAAGAGCCTGTGGCGTGGGCAGGTCTGGATGTATCTGGTTCACAGACGACACACACAAAATGAGGTTCACAGACACACACAAAATGAGACCCACCCTCCTGAGCTCGTACAGAGACAGCCCTCTTCACTGAGGGTGTCACTGGTGTTGAAGAGCTCAGCATTGGCCTGGCTTTTGCTCCTTTTGAAGCCAAGGCTTTCAACACTGACTTAGCTGGAGGGAAAATGGGCCAAAGCTTGTCACTTCTGAAAACCCCACCGTTTTCCACCAGCGACTAACTGTCCCCAGTATCCACAGTTCATCTGGGATCCTTAGTGTTCCTGCTTGTTCATTACCTGCTGGGAGCTTTCTGGATGCTGCAAGTTCCTTTCCTTTTCATGAGTAAAACCCCATTGCTCCAGCTAAACAGTAAGTTTTCAAGTGACATGTGGTCGTTTAGAGATTAAACGAGACATAGCATAGGTCTCACCTGAACCCCGTGTAGCCAAAGAGGACAGCCTGCAAGAATCCACCCATCCCCGTCAAGAAGTTCACAGCTCCTGACCCATCTGAGTTCTCCACCCAGATCTGCTCCAGCAAGAGAGAGAAAAGACTCAAGGGTTGCACTGGGTCTCCTCTTACGGTTATGTGGGTTTGAATATGTTCATCATCATCACCGTCCCTCATCCTAGGTGTTGCAGTGACCATGCACCATGGCATGGGGCAGGCGATGGGCTCTGATGGGTCCCTGGGTACCACCATCCCCGTTCCCTCTCCCATCCCCAGCAGGCAGGAGGAAGTCTGGGGTGAGCACCACACCAACCCGTGGCTTTGTATTGCTTGGTAGGAAGCAGATGCCTCCTTATTGCCCTTTGGAGGAGACAGAGCATGCAGCAGCTCAATACAACAATAACCCAAGAACCTGGTGACCTCAAATACAGCCAGCACGGGCTCCAGTCCAAGGGACATCTCCCAGTGGGATGGGCCCCACCTGGGAACAGGCAGGGTGGAAGCAAGAGGCGTTTGTTGCCAGGAAGCAGCCAGGCCACGCAGCTCACCTTGAAGGGCTCTGTGATGTTGCTGAAACACTTGTTGAGTTGGCTCTGGGCTCTCTGCACCTCCTTTAGCTCCAGCCACCCCACTGCAAACATGCTCTGCGGGAGAGGAGACCTGCCTTTCACCAGCTGCCATCTCCCCCGGGGGTGACAATACAGCAAAACCTCCAGCGACACCAGAACGGGCATCCTCCAACCCAGAGCAGGCATCTCCAGTGCACTCCTCTAGCTCTGCTGTCCACCTTCCCTCAAAGCAGGGCTGACAAAATGTGCCCGTTGAGGGGGTGGCAGTGACTAACTCGATGGAGACCACCGCCTCATGGGTAAATCCCACCCCAGGCTTTGCCCCTCTCCTCACCCAGGTCATGGCTGGCCCATCCGGTTCGGTGGCGGGTTCATACATCTCCAGGTCGTTTCTCCGGACCTCGGGGCTCATGGGGTGCATCAGGGGGAATCCCAGCAGGATGACATCAGCCTGTTTCACGGGCTCGCCTGGGGAAGGGAGCCGGTCCCACCACACATGCCAGCTGGGAGCAGCTGGCAGACCCAGTCTCTGTTTGCTCATTTGGGGAGCAAACCTGACTCACGGGAATCATAAACCCGGAAGAACAAACACCACATGGGCAGGGGAAGGTGGTGGAGCTGCAGGGAGGACACCTCATTGCTGCCTTGCTAAAAGATGACCAGAACTGCAGCTTATGGCTTGTCGAGGCAGGACAGTGGCACAGCCCTGACACGATGGCACTGGGAAGGGTGTCACCTGAACTTCGGGTGCGAAGGAATAGCTCCCACCACCCCCTAACTGTGAGACAGAGGACTCTAAACTGGGCGTGGATCTCCAACGGAGCCAGCATCTTCACTTCCAGAGGCTCCCAACACGGCACTTGACTTGGAAAGAGAGACCTGTTGGCAGTGGGTCCACAGCAAACACCTCATCCGCAGCCCAGCGCTAAAAGTCTCTTCCTACTCTCTGCGCTTCCAAATTTCCTCATTTTATCAGCCCAGCACTGGGAAATGATCCACCAAGAGGCAGAAAAAGCATCTAGAATCCAGGCTCTCCACAGGGACACCCCGACTGCTGCTCGGGGAGAGCAGCACGAGGGGCTGTGACTTCAGCCACCCCCCACCCCCCCGCCCGGCTCTGAGCCCCCCAGAGACTCTGCTCTCACAAAGAGCCATCAGTGGCCAACCCCGGGGTCTGCCGCGGCCCCACCGCTCACCTGGGCTGTACCCGTCGTACTCAGGGTGGTACTTCTTCTCCGCATCAAAGGGCACTTTGATTTTCTTGGCACAGTCCACCCACTCCTCTGGCACGGGGATGGAGAAGTCCCGAGCAATGTCAGCTGCAAAGTTTAAGCTGAAAAGAGGTGAGGAACAATTCTTCATGTCAGGCATAAGGTGGCTGTGACCCCCTCAGGGAGTAGAAGAGAAGAAAGGGAACAAAAAGAGCTGATTGAGCCATAACTGCAAAGCAGCAGCTATTCTGAAAGAACACAGGTCAAAGTGTCAGCCTGGGGTAACAGCTTTCCTTGCTGGACCTGGGGTGGCAGTTCCTCCAGCCTTAGATGTCTCCAGCTGGCTAATTGTACAGACGTCTCACAAAAGACAGGGCAAGAAACCCCCCTCTGAAGTGAAATCCCTCCTAGCCTCATGTGGACGCCTCCAGCAGGTCAGATGAGCCGCCATGGGACCACCTGCTTATTTCAGCTGGCTGTGAAGGTGGGCGAAGGAGTCGGGCTCAGAGAGAGGGGTGTGAGGAGGGGGAAGGTGTTTCCTGCAGGACCCCCATTCCTCCTGCCCCTGCCAGGCAGAGGAGGAGGGAGAAGGGCCAGGGCTTCACCAAGGCATGGGTCTTACCTCCGCTGGGCCATGGCGTTGGTGTAAACAGAGTTATCAACCTGGCAGTGATGCTCATCGGGGGGCATGACACCTGCAGGAGGAGGAGGAAGAGGACACTTCACACCGCAGCCCACCCAAGGTTTGGCACAGGTCTGTGCCCCTCCTCGGGGAAGGGGCAGGAGAGAGGGGACCCCTCTCGTGGCAGAGCTGCCACCCTGCTTCTGGGGGGATCCCACAGCAACCCCAGTGCAACGCTCAGCGGAGGAGAACACAAGTGGTGCTGGTTGGTACAGCTTGGTCTGATGGGCAGCATCAGCCTGAGGGCATCTCCCTCACTTCACAGGCAAGGTGGCCTTTGAGTCACTAATTCTATCAAGTCATTCAATCAAGTCAATCAAGTCACTAAATCTTTCCCCAGCCACAAGCTCCGGCCCTTCCTTTGCTGTGGATTGTCCCCAGGAGGAGAGACGGCCACTTCCCCAGAGAAACATGGCACCAACAGCACCAAATGTTGCTTCAAGGGATTAAAATCCCACAGGCTCCTGGGGGCTTTAAACTCAGGTCTCTGAAAAAAGTCCTTCCTCTCCAAAGCCCTCGTGCACTGTTTTCCCTAAGTGCCACCAGCCTCAACAGCAGACCTGAAGCCATCCATGCGTGTGCCATCAGCTCGTAACACCATGGAAGGAGACATTTAGAGGTGTCCTATGAGCAGCAAGGGACTGTGAGAAAAAGACAACCAGTACTGTGGCACTGGAAGAGAGCTGAGCATCTAGTCCTGTTTTCACATGGACACGAACAGTATCTGTGAGACATTCCAGAGGGCAGGAGCCTGAAGATCCCATGCACTCCTGTCCAGGTCTAGCTGGAGCGGCTTGGAACCTCTGCTTGGAAGCCCCTTCCGTACAAACAGGCCTGGTAGTTGCAGAAGTACCTCTGATGTGGTAGCACTGCTCCTCCTCGCTCCACACCATCCTGCTGCACCAGTACCGAGCCACAGCATCCACCAGCTCCCAGCCTCCATCCTCCCTGAACAGCTTCTGGTCCTGGAGGGAGCCCAAGCCAGAGAGAAACAGGGATATGAGGGAGACTCAACCAAACCCAAACTCAGCAGGAGGACAGGAGCTCTAAGAAGGTGGATGTAGCAGGAGAAAAGGACAGAAAACTGGCCTGTATTGAGCCAACAGGATGCTGAGCCGCCTGAGGAGCAAGGACAGAGGAGGCAGAGCTGAAGAAGGGACCCTGAGGTGCTACCAGCGATTCTGGCAGGGGCAGCCAGCAGCAGAGTTTCTCTGGGAAGGGACAGTGACAGTCAGCAGATGCCCTGCAGGCCCTGCCACCGGTCCATGCAGGGGGCACACGCTCCCTTTACCTGCGTGGTGCAGTAATACTGCTCGAAGGCCATCAGAACATCCCCAGTGACATGGATTTCCTGGGCTCCATAGATCTCCTCAGGACACACTTCCCGGCCGGTGGCTGCGCTCTCCCACGGGAACTTAGCACCCTGCCAGGAGAAGACATCCGTGAGGACGGGCTGAGCACAGCATCTCAAGGTGTTCTCTGTCCCCAGCCCACCACCGGCGGGCAGTGCCCTGCTCCCAGCCCCGGGCTGAGACCGGAGCCAGCGAGGAAGAGCAGAGCCTGGCTCTCCTCCTGGGTGACAGCGGCCGGGCTGCATCATCCTCAGCCCGTCATCATCATCGCCGTCCCCACCTCGTAGCCTTGCTCCCGCGCGTTGTGCAGGGCTCCATCCAGCCGGCGAATGCGGTACTCCAGGATGGCACGGGCAGCCTCGGGGCAAAACAGCAGAACGTTCGGGAACATCCAGGTGTCCTGGAAGCGTCCAAGCGAGGCAATGGGGTGGGACTGGCTGGTGGGGCATCCCCACGCTCCCACCAGTTTCACCTTTACAGTCCACCCCCTCCCAAACGCTCTGACAGCGATTTTGCTCCTACTTAAAGGTGCTGTCCTGTGGGCTCATTAAAAGGGGTAAGTCCAAAAGGGACTGCTTCTGCCCATGCCCCTACTCTCTGCTCGCCACACACCTGGTATCTCCCCAGGGTGGTCCCAGCAGGACCTCCCATTACACAGGAGAAGGGAGGCAGGAGTTCTCCAAAGCCAGAGGCTCTGGGGAGGGTCAAAATGACACACATCACCAGGAGGAAAGCACAAAAGACCCCTTGGGACTGCAAAGCCCCTGCCCACTGAAGGGCCAGCCTGGGTTTAGCACAGGAGCCCCAACACCATCCAGCAGCGTCTCCTGCTCACACCATGCTGTGTGGCCACCTGGCACGGCTGCTCCGAGGGCAGGTCTAAGCCCTTGGCTGGGGCAGAGCCACCCAGCCCCACGGCTTTACTGAGCAGACTCCCCACCAGGGTCAAGGAGCTGCATGTGCCCATCACCTCTGTTTCTGCAGTGGCTCAGGCACAGCAGGACTCGCCGATGCCACCGGGGCTGGGAGGAGAAGGGCAGGTCACAACTTGCTCCATTTTAAACAGGCAGAAGTTGGTGGCCGTGCTCTGAGCCCATCACTGGGGCTCCCTTGGGTGAGCACCTGAACTGCCCTGCCCCACACCTGGGCTGGGCAAGGGGCTGCCCTGCGGAGGGGTCTCTCTGCCCCTCGCCCCCGCTGGCTACGTGGCAGCCCCAGGGATCCAGCTTCAGCTCCGGCACTTTGCTTCTGGGCTAGAGGATAACCCGGGTGGGCAACTCCAGGGGCTGAGATGGTTGGTGGAGCAGGACGAGAGCTGGAGGATGCTCTCCATCGAGCAGCTGGTACCAAGGTACCCCCTACCTGGGGGAAAGGACGGGGCCTCCCAGCAGCCTCCTCCAAGCTGTGCAAAGCCCCTGGCTAGCAGGGTCTCCACCCACCTGGTCCCAGAAGACGTGTCCCCAGTAGTCCTCGCCTCGAGTGCCGTTGGACAAGCCACCGGGGCTGATGCCGTGGAAGAGGAAGCCTGTGCTGCCCTGGGGTGGGATGGCACTCAGCAGGTAGTAGAGGCACCCGTGGAGGGCCTGCTGCAGCGGCAGGGGTCCGTCCAGGTCCATGGAGCACCCTCGCCGGAGCGTGTCCCAGGCGCAGGTGTGGGAGGGGAGCAGGGAGCCCGTGGCCACGAGGGCCAGCCCGTGGCTGTAGCTCCTCTTGGCTTCCTCTTCGCTCTCGGCCACGGCCGTCAGGAACTCCCAGGATCGCTCCTGCTCCTCCCCGCTCAGCGTCACGGCCCGTGGCACCGGGGTCCAGAGCATGTGGATGGTGGGACGGGGCCCCCCCTCCACCTCGGGAACCAGCGTCTGCCCGTAGACGTAGCTGTGGGGGGCGGGGGGCGAGAGGGGAAGGGGGAGCAGAGCCAGTGGGACCCCGTCCACGTCCACCCACGCAGAGGGGACCTCCCCAGCAGCTGAGTGTCACCTCCCGTCCCCACCCAGGGTGGAAGGTCCCCGGCCCCACACGTCAGCACAGCAGCCATCCCGCCCCCAAAGTGCAGGAGACTGGAACTCATCACGACTTGTCCCCTGTCCCAGCAAGACATTTCTAGAGGTCATCTCCTCCAAACTCACTGTCTTCCCCAGACTCACTTCTCTGTAATCACATCTAGTCCCCATGGCCTTCGTTGCTCTTCTACGTGTCAGTGTAAGGAATAATTCTGGAGTTGTAACTAATAAAAGTGTTTCTATACATAATTTGGGGGTTTTATATACCTACCAGGAAGAAGCAGATTTGCACCAGCCCCCACCACTCACCATGTCAGTCTAGATCTAACCCTACTTTTGCAATTTATTTCCCGTTGGTGAGCAGGACAGCGTGCTACAGCCCGTGAAGGATGTGCCCAGAGCAAGGTCCCCCGTGACCCAAACTCACTGTGCTCCCTGGAAGTCCGGCCCTTGCTTCAGGTCCAAATCCTGGCTCTTTGGCACGAAAGGTGTCTGGAGCTGGACCGAGATGGGTCGGGTGGTGGGAGTCAATCGCCGGATGGTGATGCTGAAGGCCATCAGGTGGACAAGGGAGTGGTGGGCATAGATGTGTTGGGTGGCCAAGTAGTCAGTTGAGCGAAGCTCATGGCTGAAGGTTCCTGTAAGCACAGCGAGAGCCACCAGCCTTTTGACCCATCAGCTCCTGGTGCTCTGCCCCAGGCTCCCATTTCTGCCCTTCCAGCCACTTCCTACTGGCAAAGGAACCGCCTTTCCAGGTCCGGATCCAAACACAGCTTTTGACTGGACAGCACTGTTAACAGACTGAACCTGGCCAAGCCCCCGAGGAATTATTTGCGCTATAAAACATTTTAACAGGTTTCACAATTGAACAGCGTTTGCCGAGCCTGGCTCAGCAGGGGTTGAGACAAACTCTGAAAAGCGCTCTTATCCTCACAAGAAAGGGGAATTTTCCACTTGCTCCTACACAACTGCAGACGAACAACAGGTGGACAGACAACAGGCAGAAGAAAGATGCGACCTTGCGGGAGAGGCAACACGGGTAAAGAGACCTTTAACTTCTAGACAAAGGTCACCAGCAGTTAGAGGAACAGAGCGAGGGTGCCTGAGGTGAAGATCTGGCAGGAGCAGCAGGACAGGGAGACCCCAGCCCATGCTCTGCCATTTACCCGTCCAGGTGTTCAAGGTGAAGGTCTCGGATGGGCTGTCCGCACCCGGCACCGTCATCCTGACGTTGATGGGGCTGGGGATGTCGGCGCGGTGCGTGTCCCCCACAGCCCCGTTGTACACACCATTGACGTGGAGGACATCCCGGTAGACACGGGTGCCCAGGTAGGCGTTGGTGACGGTGGCCAGCAACCGTGGGTCCGAGGGCAGGGAAGTGGAGGTGAACACGGCAGGGTCCTCTTTGCCACCATCCATTGTCCCCAGCCTGGGGTGCAGAGCAACAACAGCAGAGTCACAAGGGTTGAAGGGAGGAAGCGAGGGCAGGGGTTGTTTTGGAGACCACCGAAAGTGGGGGCTTTTCTCTGTAACCTGCCCAGAACACCCCGGTGACTGGCAAAGCTGGGCTTGCTGCCTCCAGCTTCCTCATGCTCCCAGGGTCCAGGGAGTTTTGGAGACCACCGAAAGTGGGGGCTTTTCTCTGTAACCTGCCCGGAACACCCCGGTGACTGGCAAAGCTGGGCTTGCTGCCTCCAGCCCCCTCATGCTCCCAGGGTCTCCGGCTCTTTTAGTCTCCCCTCTGATGACCACCAGTGGTCTTCCTCCATCCCAGCTTTCCTCCCAGTGCCTGCAGCACGTCTCCTCCACCCAGGCTCATTTCCTCCTCTGCGGCTTCCCTTCTCGCTCCTCTGGCTCCCACCAAGGCTCCTCCAGCCAAACCTCACTCACTCATGGCTTTGTTGCTTCTCCAATCTGCCCCCTCTTCCTCTTCTTCCACCCTCTCCGTGACGGCATCTCACCAGCTTCTCCCAATACAATGCACCCACCTTCCTCTTCTCCCCTCCTCTTTCCCCCAGCGCTAATCCTCTCAGCGGCTCCCCATCTCCCATCCCACTGCACCCCTGTGCTCCCCCCAACTCCCGCACCTCTAGCCCAGCTTCAGGCCCCAGCTTGATAGGGTACGAGCTTTTAATTTCAATTTTATAAACTTGTAAAAAGAGACTTATCTGTTTACATATTACATGTAAGTACATAATAAAGATACAGACACATATAAACAGCACCTCAGGGAGCCGTAGCTGGTGCCTGGCCCTGCTGCGCCCCAGGGGAACACAGAAACCATCCAACATGGCACTAAGGGACCCCCCAGGCAGAGTCAGGGTGCCAGGAGAGCAGTGCCTGCCCCCTGGCCAGGCTGGTGGTCCCCAGATTCCCTCCCCGCCAGCAGCCGGCCGCTGGAAGCTCTCAGGATGACTGGGTTTCCTCACTCCAGGCAGTGCCTGAGGCTGAACTGTGGGAAAAATCCTCCTCCCACCTTCAGGAAAGTTAAAAGAAAACCCAAAAGAAGGGGAGTTGGGGAGGGAGGAGGGTGAGGGGGGCTCTTGCCTTGGGTCTGGGGCTGAGCGGGGGCTGCTGCAGGGATCCCGCGCGGGGCAGGACGGAAGTCACCCAGCTGACAAAGAAGGAAGGAAATAACTTTTTTTTTTTTTCCCCCCCTCCTTAAAAACCAACCAAACAAAAAAATAAAATAATAAAAGTTGGTGAGTAGATGTTTGCCCAGACAAGGTCGTTGCCCGTTGTGGGGAGCACAAAGGTCCCGGGGCTGTCCCACACTGCCGGGAAGGAGGAAACGGGAAAGAAAACCAGTCCCGGAAGATTTATCAGGGAAAATCTGTCGGAGCGCCGCGGCAATGGCCCCGGGGGCGACCTGCGGCAACAAACCACCCTCTGTCCCCAGCCACGCTCCCACCGCCTCCCTCACCCACCGTGGGAGGGAAGGGACCTGGACACCAGCCAGGCTTTTCCCAGCTTCCTTCCCCGGGCAACCCTCTGCCCCCAGCACAGCTTTCCTAGGTGCCAGTGAGCCCCACAGCTGGCACCCAGCCCCACTGCTCCCAGCCCCACTGCTCCCAGTCCCTGGCATCTTCTAAAGCAGGGTTTCACCAGGCTGCCCCCAAAGAGGGCCAGGTCACCCCCTGTTACACACAGAAACGCCCAACCTCTACCACACTGTCTGGGACACAGCAGCCCCTGTCCCCAGCAGGTCCTTCACCCTGGTGTCACCATGCCCCCACTCCCCCCTTGCTGCCAAGTCGGTCCCCAAAGGGATCTGTGTTCAAGTCCTCAAGGCAGGGACACCTCCCACCACACCAGGTTGCTCCAAGCCCCCTCCAACCTGCCCTTGAACCCCTCCAGGGATGGGGCAGCCACAGCTTCTCTGGCCAACCTGGGCCAGGCTCTCACCACCCTCACACCAAACAAGTTCTTCCCCACAGCTCAGCTCCATCTCCCCTCTTGCAGTGTCCAACCCTTCCCCCTCCTCCTAGGGCTCCCCTCCCTCATCCAGAGTCCCTCCCCATCTCTCCTGGAGCCCCTGGAGGGACTGGAAGGGGCTCCAAGGTCTCCCCAGAGCCTTCTCTTCTCCAGGCTGAACCCCCCCAACTCTCTCAGCCCCCCCTCCCAGCAGAGGGGCTCCAGCCCTCCCAGCATCTCCAGGACCCCTCTCCCTGCCCCAACGGATCAGGGGGGTGCAGAGAGCGCTGCAGCCACATGTGAGCACCCACCCGACCTCCTGTCCCTGCCCTGGTGCTCGGAGGAGGATTATCTTATTGAACAACCCACCATTTACAGGATAGACATTACACATCTGTTCCCCTCTCCATAAATCCGCAGAAAAGCCAATGTCTGACTCCAGGGAAGCTGCCATCGGCCTGAAGGAAGCAAAAACGTGTTTCCTGTGTCCGGCGGCAGTGAAGACACCCCGTCTCTCTGCTTGGGGAGGGGGCACCTCCTCATCCCCTCCTCCTGAGCCAGGTGGGGCAAATCCCTCTGGATTCCACCTCAAGGCCACCACTGCCAGCCCCAACGAGCAGAGCCAGCCCTCGGCCCAGACAGAAGGGACGTGAGGACAGAGACAGCCCGGGAAAGGGGGCCTGAGTGTGTGGGGAGGAGTCTGGGGGGCACAGGCAGAGGCAACGGCGCTTGTCCTGCTGCTGGGCCAGCCACGCTCCGTGGGCTCACGCGGTGACGTGATCTGGAGTGGCCTTCCTGCCAGAAACTCCCCAGGGAAGAAGCTGAAGAAGAGGAGGAGGAGGGACAGGAAGGGTGTCCGGGTTAAGAAAAAGAGCTGCCGTGTATCTTCTTTATCAAAACAGCCATTATTCATCTGCACAGGGTGATTTGCTCCTGGGTCAGTCAGGGCACAGGCAAGCTTCTCTAAGAATCCGTTAACCACATCTGTCCTCTACCACCAACAGTATCTCCAGCTTCTCAAGGATTTCAATTGCTCCTTTTAAAAACCTAATTTGAAAGGCTTTATTCCTCCACAAGGACATTATTCTCCTGCTATTCACAGAAAACACAACCAGGCCTTTCACAGCTGCCCCAGACCAATGTGGTCACTCTCCCTGTCACCCCTGGTAGCCCCAGTGATGCTCCTCAGGTTTTTGCCACTGATGAAAACCTTGATCTACTAGAGCAAAAGGGGTTTTTGAGGTGGGGTTTCAGGAAGGAACTGAGTCATTTGGTCCAGACTCACACAAACAGAGCTAGAACAGCCCCAGGCAGACGGGGAAGATGGGGAGGGAGAAGGCTGCTGCCTGGATGCTTCGTCCTGAGGAGGAGGAGGAGGAAGAAGAGCTGCTCCCAGCAACACACAGGTCATCACTAAAAGCAGCGTGAAGAGGCAGAGCAGAACATGGGTTTGGTGTAGAAAATGGGCTGAGAGAAAAGCAGGTCAGTGTGAGATGCCATGGAGGGGGTGTCCTGGGGGTGACTCATTCTCCTGTCTCACTGAGACAGACATTTTGCGAACCTGCTCAGGAGAAAAGTCTTCACCCTGGGAGGCTCTGCCACCCCCCAGCTCCATGTGTCCCATGGGGATCACCCACCACGGGCCAGGCTCTGGTGAGGGGGGGACACAGAGGAAAACCCCCAGGGAGCCAGCTCCAGGCAGGAGATGGGGGGTGAGAGGATCCCACGACTGCTGGGACATCTATGTGTCACCTCCCGTCAACAAACCTGTGCTCGGCCCAGCGGGGGCCACGCAGCCCATCGTGCTGTTTTTAAGGTAAAAACCCGCACTCTCCTGAGACAGTTGTTCTGGGAAAAGAGCTCCAAGCTCCTTCCAAAGACAAGGCCAAATTCCATCCAATTTGCCTGCTGCGACCAGGGAGCCCCGGGAGCTCCAGGAGAGTCGGGGAGAGGAAGGTGGCATTCCCAGCACCCGGAAGAACTTGGAGCAGGTCAGTACAAATCCTGGCAAACAAAAGGGCAAGAAGGACAATGTTCTGTTATTCATTGTGGGAGCTGGAAGGAGACTGTTCTTCCCACTGATGAGCCTCCACACGTCTGAGGAACCAGACCCAGGCTCAAGGCTCTCAGCCACTTCTCCTCTCAGGTCGGGGCACATTGGAAGCTGATTTTGGAAACTCCTGCCCAACCTGATCCTACATCAGTGGAAGATCTGTCCATCCCTTTGAGGCTCCACGGCTGAGGAGCTCGCTAGAGATTCACCACCACCTGAGGAGGAGCCTGGGCAAACACCGAGCCACGAGGGAAGAGGGAGAAGCCATCGCCACGGACAGGACACACGAGGTCCTGATCCCGGCTGCCAGACGGAGAACACCAGGCATCACCTCTGCAAGGGTTTAAAAAAGAAAGTATATTGTGTTTTGAGTGTCATACATTTACAAAAGCCTGAGAGAAGAGGAGGTCTTCTCTCCAGCAGAACGTCGCAGAGAGGTCCCACCTCACTGGTGGGGGGGGGACACAAGTTTTGATCTCAGAGGCATGGGGAGTCGGGTGCTGCTGGGGAAAAACACCTCAAAAACACTTAAGGGGAAGAAAAAAGAAAAAAAAAGCTGTGAAAGACTGGGGAAAATCTTGCCTTTTAAGGGTTTTCCGCCGGGAGAGGGGCAGGCCCGGCGGGGGTGGCAGAGGTGACAGTGACGGGCTGGGCAGCTGCGGTGGTGCTGTGAGGAGAGCAGTGCCCTGCTCCTGCCAGCGCCATGCGGGGCTTCCAGCGGGGCTCCCGGCTGCTGGCCGCCGTGCTGCGCCCCCCCCGCGCCCCCCGCGCACCCATCGCCTCCAAACCGCCCGAGCACCCCCTCTCCGCCGCCGTGAGTAGCCTGGGGGGGCTGGAAATAAAAACAGGGGGGGCTGGAAATAAAAACGGGGGGGGTGTGCCACTTGCTCCTAGGGGATGGAGGGGCACAACACCCCCCCCCATGCATTACAGCTGGGTTATTTGTCAGGAACAAAAGCAAAAGGGGAGGGGGGGGGGAA